CACACACGTTTGTGTGTGTATCTTATCCTGCCATCTTGTTAACGATGATGATTGCCTCTACCAGATAATGACTAATTAGCAACAATCAGAAGGGTACAGCAAGGTCGTTGTCGTGGTTACACCGCTAATTTTTTTGATGCTGTTGTCGCAGGATGGGACGAAAATGAAGTAGCGAGGAATACGATTAAGTACATGATTGTTGCAAGTAAGTAATGTGTGGAAATATGTTTTTTCCAAGAAAATACACCACCGTATGCCTGAGAATTACTAGAGACTCTACAAAATAGAGAAAAAAAAGGAAAAAGGTGAAAAAGGGAAACAATAAACGAAAACTAGACACATAACTCTAACAGAAATTGCTGATAGACAAATATCGCTCTCTCGATCTGAGAGAGAGTAGAGAAGAGAGAGAGAGATGAGTAGAGAGAGAAGAGACAGAGAGAGAGAAGAGAGAGAAGAGGGGGAGAGAGACGAGGAGAGAGAGGAGGAGAGAGAGAGAGAGAGAGAGAGAGAGAGAGGAGAGAAGAGAGGAGAGAGAAGAGAGGGAGAGAGATAGAGAGCATAGAGGGAGAGGAGAGAGAATAGAGAGAGAGAGAGAGCCTAGCTATCTCTATCTTCTCTTCTCTCTCTCTCTTCTACTCTATCTGAGGTAGGTATCTCTCTGTATCTTTATATCTATTTGCCATTACACATTCATCTGCATTGTTTTCTGCTGTGTGTGTGCGTGTGTAGGGATGGGGCGGGATACCGTATTTTTAAGATATACCGCTATTGATGCACGGACCGGTTTGGGTTTTTTAACTTACCTTCTATAACGGTATTTGAATGTTGGTTTGGATAAATGGTGATAGCCTTGTGTAAACGGTCCATTTTTATAGTAATCTCTTATTTGCTCTCTCTCTCTCCCTGCGCTTTCCACACACCTCCGCTCTCTCTCTCTCTCTCTCCGCTCTCTCTCTCCCGCCCCCTGTCACTCAAGGAGCGCATTTGTGTTGCTCGACCAGTAGACACTTGGGTTCAGTCTGCATTGGTTATGCAAGCATGGTTGATGACGACGATGCTGTTTTCCACTTTGCTTAATTACTAATTAAATCCACAAGCGTTCATAATTATTGGGGTTTTGAACGTTGAATTGAACAGTATAAAAACAATCAGAATGGAGAAGAAAAAGAGAAAAGAAAAGACCCATCGGAAATCACTTAGAATGTAAGACCCATCGGAAATCACTAGAACTGTATAAGACCCATCGGAAATCATTAGAATGTAAGACCCATGGAATCACTTAGATGTAAGACCCAATCGGAGAATAACTTAGAAGTAGACCCATCGGAATCATTAGAATGTAAGAACCATCGGAATCACTTAGAATGTAAGAACCATCGAAATCACTAGAATGTAAGACCCATCGGAATCACTGTGAATGTAAGATTAGACCCCCATCGGGAAATCACTATAGGAATGTAAGGACCATCGGAAATCACTTTGATGTAGGTTGCCACCTCCTTAGGGTACGCAAGCAAATTTAGAACTCTGTATTGTATTAATTCAAAAAAAAATAAATATGTCATACCAATCAAAAAAAAATAAAAAAATGTCATACTGTGATATTATATTTTGGACATATCGCCCTACACACACACCAATCTCTTTTCCATTCCATTGAAGACCTCATCTTCAGTAATCTATATGAAGGAGCTGTGAGCCTGAGTTAATCACAACCTCTCGTCCCTCTCCCCCTGTCTCCCCCCACCCCTCTCTGTCCCTCTCCCTCTGTCTCCCCCCACCCCTCTCTGTCCTCTCCGACTTGTTCTCCCTCCACCCTTTCTGTCCCCTCTCCGCCTGTCTCCCCACCCCTCTCTGTCCCTCTCCCCACTGTCGGAACGAAAAAAAGGAGGGACACGTGAGAAAAAGGGAGAAAAAAAAGAGAGGGAAAGAGAAAAGGGAGGAAAAAACAAAAAAAAAAGAGAGGGGAAAGAACAGAGGGCGAAAAAAAAAGAGAGGACAGAGAAGAGGGAGAAAAAAAAAACAAGAGGGAAAGAGCACAAGAGGGGAGAAAGAAAAACGAGAGGGAAAGGAAAATAGGGGAGAAAAAAAAAAAGAGCGGAAAAGAGAAAAACGAGAGAAAAGACAAAAGCGAGGGAAAGAGAACAGTGTCCACCACACCTCTCTGTCCTTGGTCCACTTGTACACCCACCCCTCTCTTTCTTTCCTCCCTCTCGGTGGTGTGTGTGTGTGTGTGTGTGTGTGTGTGTCCAGCAGCAGTCTCTTTGAGCTCTGTTGGAGCTGAGAGTCCTTTCACATAGCTGACTGGGTCCCAGCATGCAGTGGGGTTCTGAAACTCAATGTTAAGAGGGGTCCTCTACTAATGAACCCCTCTGACCAAGCGTGTGTGTGTGTCTCTTTCTCTCCTTTCGTCCTCAGGTTTGGGCCTTAACGACGGCCAGTGGCACGCGGTGCATCTAGTTGCTAAGGAGAACTCTGTCATGTTAACGATCGATGGAGACGAAGCATCAGCGGTCCGAACCACCACGCCTATCACCATCAGGACTGGTGGAACATACCATCTGGGAGGTGAGGAAGGGAGTGTGTGTTTGTGTGTGTGTGTGTGTACGCGCGTGCGTGCGTGCTCGTGTGTGTTTGTACATCTGCACACAAGAACACTCCATCAGAAGATATGCATAATGTTCTCCATTGATTTACTGTCCTTAGAAAATAAAGATCAATTATTGTCAAATATTGAACAGACACTTCATCATGTGCTTTGAGCCAAACCATGAGCTGTCTATGATGCTATACATGACATATTGAACTCTGCAGTAAACTTTTCAGCCAGTCAGGCAGAAAAGAAAAGTTAAGTCAGTAATCTGGTGCGGGGGAAATTATGAGAAATAAAAAAAAAAAAAGTTTATGCGGGTGAAGTGGTGAATGAAGTGTCTTGGGACTCTAGAACTCTATACGTACACATTACATCCTCTGCTCTGTTCTGCCTGACTGGCTGCTCATACAGTAAACATGAGACACAGAGGTTCTCATTAATCTGACTATTGACTCTCACAGGGCCATCATACTAGGTTGATAGTGGTCATGGAGCGGAGGGTAGGGGGGCGCGTTGCTCGACGGGGGGGGGGGCGGGGGGGGAGGGATGTGGGGGGGAGGGGAGGGGAGGGGAGGGGATGGGGGGGGGGGGGGTAAGGGGGTGGAGGGAGGGCCGTGGGGATGGAGGGCGGGGCTTAGTATGTAGTGTAGGGGGGGGGGGTGGGGGGGGGTGGTGGTGGGATGCAGATGGGTGGGGGGTGGGGGGTGGGTGTACGGGGTGTGTTGGTGGTTGTGGGGGTGTGATGTGTTGATGGTATGTGTATAGGGTGTGTTGTGGGTGGGTATGTGTAGTTTGTATGTCGTAGGGTGGTATGATTGTGTGTGTGTGGGTATCTGTGGGTTGGGTGTGCTGTAGGTTGTGTGGTGTGTGGGTATATGTGTGGTGTGTGTGTTTGTGTGTGTGTGTGTGTGTGTGTTTGTGTGTGTGCTATCGATAGGTTGAGTCCAGACTGAGCTGTCTCCTCACTATGTCAACCCACACACACACACACGCACTCTGGCTTTGTGGCCTGTGTAGAGGGAGAGGACAGGACTCTGACAGGAAACCTCTAGACACACTGCAGGGAGATCTGAGATATGGCCTGATTCCAGTGCGGGATTGGGTCTTGGAGAGATTGGCTCCATGGTACCATTCCATCGCTCTGCGTCCACTGGGGGGGGATGTTGGGATAGGACTCTGGTCCTGGGGTGGTGTGTGATGGGACTCTGGTCCTGGGGGTGGATGTGTGGATAGGACTATGGTCCGTGGGGTGGATTTGTGGATAGGACTCTTGGTCTGGGGGTGGATGTGTGGATGGGACTCTGGTCCTGGGGTGGATGTGTGGGAATAGGACTCTGGTCCTGGGGGTGGATGTGTGGATAGGACTCTGGTCCTGGGGGTGGATGTGTGGATGGGACTCTGGTCCTGGGGGTGGATGTGTGGATAGGACTCTGGTCCTGGGGGTGGATGTGTGGATGGGACTCTGGTCCTGGGGGTGGATGTGTGGATAGGACTCTGGTCCTGGGGGTGGATGTGTGGATGGGACTCTGGTTCTGGGGGTGGATGTCTGCTCTGTTACTGCTGCAGGCTGATTGTGACCACTGGGAATGTAGAACCAGAACCAGAAGTAAAACCTCTCTCTTCCTTTCTAGTGTTCTCTTTATATATTCTGTCTCTCTCTCTCTTTCTTCCTTTCTCGTTATCTCTCTTTCTCTCTGTCACTCCTCTCTCTCTTTCGCTTCTCTCTCTGTCGCTCTCTCTCTCTTTCTCTTTCTGGTAGAGATTGGGCAGGTGTGGAGACAGTTGAGACAGATGGTGGCGGTGACTTGAGAAACTTTTGGAAGAAATCCCAAACACAAAATGAGCACTGAAACACATTCAGGCATACACACACACACACACACACACACGCACACACACCTAGACAGGTTGGCCTCAATAATAAGGCTGTAGTGCGATGGCCTTGAGGTTGATCGACTAATGCTGGGGAGGAAAGAAGATTAAACAATCTGAGGGGGAGATGGTCATCGGGCGAGGGGGGGGGGGGAGAGCGAGGGGAGAGAGCCAAGAAAAAAGGGGAGAGAGTAGGAGAGAGCGGAGATAAGAGAGAGAGCGAGAGAGAGCGAGAGAGAGAGAGAGAGGGATGACGAGAGAGAAGAAGAGAAGAGGGACAAGAGGACGAGAGAGAGAAGAGAGAGAGATGAAAGAGAAAAACAGTTTTCTCTATAACTCTCAACCATCCCCATTTCCTCTCTCTCTTTCTCTCTCCCCCAACACCCTACACCCTGTCCTCTATCCCCCCCCCACCTCTCTCTTTCTCACTCCCCCACACCCCCTCTTTCTCTCTCTTTCTCTCTCTTTCCCTCTTCCAGGGTACTTCCTGCCTACCTTAGCCCCTCCCATCCAGAGGTCGTTCCAGGGCTGCATGCAGGCGATTATATTGGATGATCAGCCGGCGGATATGCATGCCGTGGAGAAAGGCATTGTGGGTGTGTTTGAGAACGTCAGCTTGGACATGTGTGCCATCATAGACAGGTGAGACACACACGTGCACACACACACAAACACACACACACAAACACACACACACAGACACACACACACACACACACACACACACACACACACACACAAACACACAGACACACACACACACACACACACACACACACACACACACACACACACACACATGAAAGGCTATCTAAACGTTTTATATTTGATGGGTAATGTGGTCAGAGAGCTGATGGTCACTAGAGACAACAACACCAGTATGAGAAATATCATATTGAACGCTAAATCTGAAATGTATCTCCAGATGAATACGTTGGAAGTTATATTTGCATTTCTGATTGCAGGTGGTCCACATTTCCTCAGTCATATAAATATGAAATCTCTCTCCAATCAATGCATCTCTGTGATGCTGAAGCTGTGTTAGATTAAATTAACTCCTTCTCTGATGCTGAATGCTTTGTTACAACAAATTAACTCCCCATAAAACGAGGTGTGTTTGACAAGAGTTTTTGGTAATTCAATAAATTGATAGAATTGATAGAATTAATGGATCAATAGTATTTATAATATAAGACTTTGAGAGAGGTTGGTTTCATTCCTTCACATTTCTTGTCTGTTCAAATGTGTGATATGTTGGGTTGTTGATATTGCTGGCCACAGAAACATCGCTGTTGTAATTGTACTGAGAGACAATAAGATGGAAGGCTAAACTTCCTCTCTCTCTCTGTCTCTGTCTCTGTCTCTCTCTCTCTCTCTCTCTCTCTCTCTCTCTCTCTCTCTCTCTCTCTCTCTCTCTGTCTTTGACTGTCTGTCTCGCTGCCCCTTCTGTTCTCTCTCTCACTCTCCTTCAATCTCTTCCTCTTTCCCTGTCACCCACATGTTCCTCCCACTCTCTCTCATAGACATATGTGTGTGTGTTTGTCTGTGTCTGTACTGCATAGGGAATTTGCAAACCTTGATTTAACACCAGTTTCGTAATGCGATTGTGAGTTGAGAGCACTGATAGTCTTGTCTCTTTCCGCTTGGATTCCCCAAGGTATGGAAAATGTGTCTGACTCCAATAGCTGCAATACTTCAGTGGCTTTTCACCCAACTTCCTCTTAAGTGTTATAAAGCCTTTCTTTTCATCAGAGTGAACAGCTTTGGAGGGGTTTTGATCACTTAGCATTTTCCCCAGGTGGTTTACCTAAGGCAAGCCTCTGTTTTGTCCTCCTTGGATTTAAAAGCAGGAATTTACATTCATATGTAACCCAGTGTATGTCTGGAGGATGTTTGTGATAGCTAACCCTGGGACGGTAACACTTTTGATTGAAGCCTAGGGGCATTTCATCCAGCTTACACATCAAAACATGTTTCTGTTGGAAATGAATTCATCAGTGTTTTGGGGGAATAACATATAATGAATGGTATGTATAAGAACTAATATATGTTGAATAAAATAAAATAAAAACTGCCTTGAGAGACAGTTATTATTAATGGTTCTCCCTCTCACTCTCCCCCATCCTCTCTCCCCATATTATATCTTTCTCTCTAGGTGTATGCCTAACCATTGTGAGCATGGAGGCAGGTGTAAACAGACATGGGACAATTTTAGCTGCACCTGCGACAGAACCGGATACACTGGAGCCACCTGCCACACCTGTGAGTGTGGGTGTGTATGTGTATGTGTGTGTGTGTGTGTGTGTGCACGTGTGTGTGTTTTACAAAGAAAAGAGTGAGAGAGATGTAAGAAAGTGTAGTCAGAGATGGTTGGTTCTTAATCGAAAAAAGTATCCATCAAAATCCAACTGAAACTCTTTCTCTCGGTCTCTTACTGAAACATAAATCAGATTCTCATCTCTGGATAAACACAATCACACCATCATCATGCTGTCACTCAAACTGTGTGTTTGTGTGTGTATGTGTGCGTACGGAAATATGAGTGTTTGACAGACAATGTGTGAGAAAACCAAAAATATTATTTGTTTGTCAGTATTTGGAAGCAGAGTGACAGCGTCAGTTTTTGGAAGCAGAGTGACAGCAACTTTGAAATTGCCTGCTAGTAAAGTTACATGCATCACATTACTGCAGTTCCCTTTTATTTACACTTTCAGAAATGTCATTAATCATCTGTCATTCAGAAGTCAACACACTCACTCAGACAGACACACACACACAAACACACACACGGTCGTCCTTCGGAAGTCAGATAAGTCTATTCTGTTTTATGAATATGAGACAGAAGATATGAGACTGCACACAAATTACTTCTCAAACACACACACTCACTCACACACTCACACACAAAGCTGAGCCCAATGAAAGAAAATCTCCAGACAGAAGAAGTGTTTGTGTAAACTAGCAGAGTCTGAGTGGTGTTAGGAGCTGTCTGTGGAACTGACTGACATTGAGGTATCAGAGGTGAAGGGACAGCGGCAACTGTGCTGACTCGCGGTACATCAACTCTCAAGGCACTACTTCTCACTGTCTACTTCTCCTTCTCTACCCTCTCTCTCTGTCTGTCTGTCTAGGTCTGTCTGTCGGTCGTGTTCTCTCTCTCTCTCCTCTCTCCTCGGTCTCTACTCATGATTCTGGTTCGGTTATAGATGTCTCTTATCTCACTCTTGTCTGTCGGTATGGAGGTCGTTCTATCTATATATCTATCGCTTCTATAGCTCTGATCTAGCTCTCCTATATCTCTCTCTCTTTCTCCCTCTCTCTCGCTATGTTCGCTCTGGTCTGGCTGGCTCTGATATCTATAGAGAGAGAAAGGGAGAAAGGATAAGGGAGGAGGGAGAGAGCAGAAGAGAGAGAGCGAGAGAGACGCCCAAAAGATCTACGAGCGCGGAGAACGGAGGAGAAAAAACAGCGTGATAGGGAGCGCTTATCGATCTAGCTGAAACATCGCGATAGCTATCGACAGGAGGGGGACTCTTATCCCCTAGTTCTCTCTACCTTCTATTTCTCTCACTATCGCTCCTCTCCCTCACTATCTCCTCACTTCTATCTCTCTCTATCTTCTTCTCCTCGCTCTTTCTCTCTCTTTCCCCCCCTCTCTCGCTCCCTCTTTCTCACCCACTGTCTCTCTGTCTCGCCCCCCCCCCCCCCCCCCCCTCTCTCTCTCTCTAGCGTTGTTTGAACAGAGTTGTGAGGCGTATAAACACCTGGGCAGATCTTCAGACACATACTGGATAGATCCGGATGGGAGTGGACCCCTTGGACCTTTCAAAGTCAACTGCAACATGACAGGTGTGTGTGTGTGTGTGTGTGTGTGTGTGTGTGTGTGTGTGTGTGTGTGTGTGTGTGTGTGTGTGTGTGTGTGTGTGAACATCCCAAGTTTCAAACCAGTGACAACATGGGTTCAAAGTCCAGAACCAGCTTGCTTAAGGGACTCTTCTCCAGGTTCATCTCTCTGTAGGTGATGGCTTTGTTATGTAAGGTTTGGGAATCACTTCCTTTTAGGTGGTTGTAGAATTTAACGGCTCTTTTCTGGATTTTGATAATTAGCAGGTATCGGCCTAATTATGCTCTGCATGCATTATTTGGTGTTTTTCGTTGCACACTGAGGATATTTTTTGCAGAATTCTGCATGCAGTCTCAATTTGGTGTTTGTCCCATTTTGTGAATTCTTGGATGGTGAGCGGACCCCAGACCTCACAACCATAAAGGGCAATGGGTTCTATAACTGATTCAAGTATTTTTAGCCAGATCCTAATTGGTATGTCGAATTTTATGTTCCTTTTGATGGCATATAAGGCCCTTCTTGCCTTGTCTCTCAGATGGTTCACAGCTTTGTGGAAGTTACCTGTGGTGCTGATATTTAGGCCGAGGTGTGTATCGTTTTTTGTGTGCTCTGGGGCAACGGTGTCCAGATGGAATTTGTTTTTGTGGTCCTGGCAACTGGACCTTTTTTGGAACACCATTATTTTTGTCTTACTGAGATTTACTGTCAGGGCCCAGGTCTGACAGAATCTGTGCAGAATATCTAGGTGCTGCTGTAGGCCCTCCTTGGTTGGGGACAGAAGCACCAGATCATCAGCAAACAGTAGACATTTGACTTCAGATTCTAGTAGGTTGAGGCCGGGTGCTGCAGACTGTTGTAGTGCCCTCTCCAATTCGTTGATATAAATGTTGAAGAGGGTGGGGCTTAAACTGCATCTCTGTCTCACCCCCTGGCCCTGTGGAAAGAAATGTGTGTGTTTTTTTGCCAATTTTAAACGCACACTTGTTAATGTACATGGATTTTTTTATGTCGTATGTTTTTCACCCAACACCGCTTTCAATCAATTTGAATAGCAGACACTCATGCCAAATTGAGTCAAAAGCTTTTTTGAAATCAACAAAGCATGAGAAGACTTTGCCTTTGTTTTGGTTTGTTTGTTTGTCAATTAGGATGTACAGGGTGAATACGTGGTCCCACAGTAGTTATTGGGGTCAAATTTGTCTCCACTTTTGTGGATTGGGATGATCAGTCCTTGGTTCCCAATATTGGGGAAGATGCCAGAGCTGAGGATGATGTTAAAGAATTGAAGTATAGCCAATTGGAATTTGTGGTCTCTATATTTTATCATTTAATTTAGGATACCATCAACACCACAGGCCTTTTTGGGTTGGAGGGTTTGTATTTTGTCCTGTAGTTCATTCAATGTAATTGGAGAATCCAGTGGGTTCTGGTAGTCTTTAGTAGTTGATTCTAAGATTTGTATTTGATCATTTATATGTTTTTGCTCTTTGTTCTGTGTTATAGAGCCAAAAAGATTGCAGAAGTGGTTTATCCATATCCGTTTTGGATAGATAACTCTTTGTATTGTTGTTTGTTTAGTGTGTTCCAATTTTCCCAGAAGTGGTTAGAGTCTATGGATTTTTTAATTACACATTGAGCTGATTTCCTTATTTTTCCATAGTGTATTTCTGTATTGTTTTAGAGATTCACCATAGTGAAGGCGTACAGTAGTCTCTATGTTTATGGTTGAATAGATTTCTCAATTTCTTTAGGTTTTTGCATTCTTCATCAAAAAATGTGTCACTGTTGTTAATTTTCTTAGGTTGTCTGCTTGAAACTTTTAGATTTCATAGGGAAGCTGAGCGGTCAAATATACTGTTGTCATGACTTGCCCTCATGGGCTGAGGATCAAAGATGCTGGCTAGACAAAGGTTTGAACACCCCCTCTCCTGGGGGCCAGTTGTATGACCGGTCGTAAATTCCTTGCAGAAACGTTATTTTCCGTGCCATGCAGTATTGGGAGAGGGAAATTCCCTGTAGAACAAAGGAAGTCTTCCCGCCAAGACTCCAGCATCCAAAAGTGGATAATGAAACAATATTCCTACTTCAAGGAATGTGGGAAATGGTCAGACTACCTCGCCTCTCACAATGTGACTCATGCTGAAACTACACTTACAACACGTATCGCTTGTTCACCCTGTGTGTGTTACCAGCCTCAAAAGTGAACCCCTGCTACTCGAAGTAGACTTGATGAATTGGTTGATCCCACTGATGTATTGGAAGACCAACCAAGTATGGTTACAGGCAACCATGCCGTCTCCACTGACCATACCGTCGTCTACTACCAGAACCCCTTTCGAAAAAGATGTCTCGACACTTCTCTGTGCAGCATCTGACCCAAGGAGATATTATGATATCTCGTCACATTCAATCAGCAAACCTGATTTGACCAGTCCTTTCATGATTTCAAGCCAGCAGTCTCTGTGAATGAGCCACTTCCCTCCTCCTTGGAGTCATGTGATACTGTAGCTGAGATTAACTTATCTTGTTTTACGGACACTTCCACAAGCACTGCGGCCCTCTCAGGAATAAAAGCATCAACGTGCAGAGTGTACTCTGCTTCCGATGTTACATTTTCCGCTTTGAGGGGGACTGAAACCCCTTTCAATGAATCGAACAGCGTCAGTCCCGCAACTGACCCGATGATTCCCACTGCTGAAACACTGTGCCATATCGCAGAATGATATCCTCGTCTCAGTTTGCAGGTACTGGAACGGTCGTCACACGCGAATGCTATGGTGACTGACAGGCCACGACAGCCACTGAGCATTTTTAAGCACAAACACCAGGAGATTTGGTTGAATGGTTACAGCCAATCTACTAACTACGCGGCTGCTGACAACTCGACGTTCAGAATGAGACTGATAAGAGGTAATTATTTAATAAGTGACTGTTATCGATATATAACATACAGTGCCTTGCAAAGTATTCATCTCCCTTGGCGTTTTTCCTATTTTGTTGCATTACAACCTGTAATTTAAATTGATTTTTATTTGGATTTCATGTAATATAGACATACACAAAATAGTCAAAAAATTCTGAAGTGAAATGAAAAAAATAACTTGTTAAAAAAAATTCTAAAAAAAAAATAATGGAAAGGTGGTGTGTGCATATGCATTCACCCCCTTTGCTATGAAGCCCCTAAATAAGATCTGGTGCAACCAATTACCTTCAGAAGTCACATAATTAGTTTAATAAAGTCCACCTGTGTGCAATCTAAGTGTCACATGATCTGTCACATGATCTCAGTATATATACACCTGCCCCAGTGTCTGCAACCCCACTAAGCAAGGGGCACCACCAAGCATGCGGCACCATGAAGACCAAGGAGCTCTCCAAACAGGTCAGGGACAAAGTTGTGGAGAAGTACAGATCAGGGTTGGGTTATAAAAAAAGATCAGAAACTTTGAACATCCCACGGAGCACCATTAAATCCATTATTAAAAAATTGAAAGAATATGGCACCACAACAAACCTGCCAAGAGAGGGCCGCCCACCAAAACTCACAGACCAGGCAAGGAGGGCATTAATCAGAGAGGCAACAAAGAGACCAAAGATAACCCTGAAGGAGCTGCAAAGCTCCACAGAGATTGGAGTATCTGTCCATAGGACCACTTTAAGCCGTACACTCCACAGAGCTGGGAAGAGTGGCCTGAAAAAAGCCATTGCTTAAAGAAAAAAATAAGCAAACACGTTTGGTGTTCGCCAAAAGGCATGTGGGAGACTCCCCAAACATATGGAAGAAGGTACTCTGGTCAGATGAGACTAAAATGGAGCTTTTTGGCCATCAAGGAAAACGTTATGTCTGGCCCAAACCCAACACCTCTCATCACCCCGAGAACACAATCCCCACAGTGAAGCATGGTGGTGGCAGCATCTTGCTGTTAGGATGTTTTTCATCGGCAGGGACTGGGAAACTGGTCAGAATTGAAGGAATGATGGATGGCGCTAAATACAGGGAAATTCTTGAGGGAAACCTGTTTCAGTCTTCCAGAGATTTGAGACTAGGACGGTGGTTCACCTTCCAGCAGGACAATGACCCTAAAGCAACACTTGAGTGGTTTAAGGGGAAACATTTAAATGTCTTGGAATGGCCTAGTCAAAGCCCAGACCTCAATCCAATTGAGAATCTGTGGTATGACTTAAAGATTGCTGTACACCAGCGGAACCCATCCAACTTGAAGGAGCTGGAGCAGTTTTGCCTTGAAGAATGGGCAAAAATCCCAGTGGCTAGATGTGCCAAGCTTATAGAGACATACCCCAAGAGACTTGCAGCTGTAATTGCTGCAAAAGGTGTATTGACTTT